GTCTTTGAATATAAAATACTATGTCTTTGATGATAATATATTATGTCTTTGTGCTAGAACATTGTGTTCATTGGTGAGCGAGCGCAGCGAGCCATGGTTCACGGCGTGAACCACATAGGATTGCGTAGCAATTCTCGGGGTTGGCGAGCAGGGGGCGGAGCCTCCTAGTATATTAATAATTTACGATCACAAAAAATATGTAAGGTTCCTAATTATCATAATTTACATACCAATGACTATTATCTTGCTTTTAATGTTTGATATATATTGATTAATAACCACATAATATATAATAATAACCACATAATATATAATAATGACCACATCCAAAAAAAAAATTCATTTTAAAAATTCAATAAATTCTAAACTGGAAAAAATAACATACTTAGCTTTGAAAAATCATTTTCAGAAAGGAACTGTACCAAATCTTGTAATTCAGTTTTTGTATCAAAAAGGAACAGCTGAACATTATCAGTCCAAGCTTTATAATCTTTATCATGCAGCGATTTCATAGCTTTCTGGAAAATTAAGACTAAACATTAAAACAAATAACATTTAATAGTTACTGCAATAAAACCGCTTTGAGCATAAATTGATGTCTCTTAATTGCATTAATTAGTCGCTAGAAATTGATAATTTATTGAGTAATCACTTTTGCCCAATCAAGCAACAATTAAAAAAAAATTTAAATTAGCTTGCACACCTATTCTCTAGTGTTTCACACCTATGCATTATTGTAAAATACAAATTTTTTACGAAACGTCCCTTTAAAAAATGGTAATGGTAAAAAAAATTCAATGAAATAGTAAAGATGACGCAAATAAAATTACAAATTTCATTAGTCATTGAACAAGAGCTTCATTAAAGAAAGAATAAGATATAAATTTCTATTAAATGCAAAGGCAACCAGTTTAAACATTTGGAAAATGTTTAGGCATTAAATTAAAAAAATGCATTTACATTTAATTAGATAAATACTCAGAATTTGAAGCATTAATAGTTAATTAGACATTTAATCAGTATAAAATCATCTTAATGAAACTAAAGTCATATTATAATGTCACATTGTTAACATAAGAAAGTACTTAATGAATGTTTTCAAGAATATTAAAAATCAGCTTCCCAATTTTAAAACCGACTGTTTCTTGATTAAGTTAGATAAATAAGAACTCAACAAAATGTATTTTTCTATTTATTTTGAATTAAAATTTTTTTTTTGTCTTCTTTATGATGAATTTCTATCCTTTTATCAGTATTATTATTTAAAAAAATAAAATTTCTAAAATGATCTGAATTTTTCTTGAGTAAATGAATACATATACAATATGTAAAAAAAAATTTTTTTAGTCCATTAAAGACAAAGAAAAAAAAAAATTCTAAATATGTCAATAATTTTTTTTTAAAACTCTAGGTTTCTGAAATAAATAATCTGAGCAACATTACCAGAAAAAGGTCTCGATGCTTCAATAGCAGTTGTAGCGGTTCAGCATAAACATTCACATACTCTTGTTCAAACAAATTTGTTTTACTGAAATAAAAAACAATTGAACATTCAATTATACAGTTGTTATACTTTATTTTAATACATATTATAACAATTAACTGGCACCGAGCAATCTAAATTGGGTTTGTAACTCCCAGTGTACAATTATATAGGATAGTAATTTTGAAGCTAACCAAATCTTAAGGCAAAGGAATTCTTAGTATGGCATGAAATTAATTCACATTTGTTCTACCTGTAGAGGAAAACATCCAGTGGTCAGTTTGAAAAAGAGATTTTAACCCAAATTTAGTAAAAATGCTAATAGTATTTTAAACCAGCACTATGCTCATGTGATATTTTACATATCTGTGCATATTTATTCTTTTGGTGTGTTATATTGTCTTACATCAGCACTATGAGATAGAAGTAACATACAAATCCAAAAGATCAGGGTCAAGCTCGTACTTAACTTGCTAAACAAAACTTTTCTGTTTCCAATTCTATTACTTTGTTAGATTATTACTTTTGTTTGTGCAAACTTTTCATTTGCATCAAAATGTTAAGAGTCATTTTCTAAATTTTGATAGCTAAAATTTTTTTTAAAAAAAGCTCATTACAATGAAAACTAGAAATATCCATTAAATTTTATTTGCATGAAAATGAAAAAAAAAGAAGATATTTAAAATCATAATTTAAATAAAGTTTTGAAGAAAATTACGCTTATTTCAGAGATGCCAACTTGCTCCATGTTGTAATAAAATATTTTCTAATGGTGGTGAAATTTGAGTTATTTTCAGTTTAGCATTTTCCATTTTAAGTAATTTTTCCACCACTACCTATCAAAAATTCAAATTATCATATGGAATGAAACTTTATTGCAGTTATCTTGTAGTGACACTTTTAAATAGTAGGAGTAATTATCCTTATTCTACAGGTATTAACATTAAATCTGCTACCAATTTATTAAAACTTTTACAGAAAGCAGAGCAGTTCGCTTTCCTGTAATTTGGAAGGGGTAAACTGCTTTCTTAGGAACTGGATGTAAATCAATGAGGGGAAACAAGAAAGCATTACTTCAAATTTCAATTGAATAAAAATGAAAAAGAAGCTAAAATAATAATGAATAAAATGATAAAGGTTTTAAAAATTATGATTTTAAGGAAGTTTTAACAAAAATTATGTTTATGGGGAGGTGAGTTCTCACATTTGAAGCAAAAATATTTTATTTTACATACATTACTAGACCCAGAAAAGAATTTTACACTTTTTTTTCTTTTGTTCCACACATCTATTAATAATTTTTCTCTAAGCAAGTACTAAGAGAAATCCTTTTAATTCTATAGTCATTTTCCCATACTCATAATTCTATGATTTATTTATCTACTAGTCATATTGTAGGCACAAAATTTGTAGAATTTTTTTAGTATTTGTCGAAAATTCATAAACCAAAAATACTATACATAAAATCTAGATTTTTCCAGGTTTTTGTTAGAAAAAATCAGGGCTGTAAAATAAAGATTGTTCAGTAACCCAAAAAAATAAAAACTACTGTTATTTTTCCAGGTAGCAATAATTTTTGAGCTCTATTGCTTGGACTATTTAAACTAAAGATTTGTCTTAAAATGTAATCTGGTCATTTGAAAGTAAAAATATGAAATATAAAGTGTTGGTGTTAAGTATACAAAGCTGCTAACGAGTGTTTTCACTACAGCGGGAGAATCTCGCATATTTTTTTCCTTTTTTGCAATAAAAAATTATTAACGCGAGAAGTTCGTGCACTCTATTAATCAATTTCAAAATGAGCGAATTTTATTAAAAATTTTGTCTTTTGCCATTTTGAATAAAATCCGTTTAACTTTTCTTCCTTGATCTTTCATTATTTTGAGCATTGGTCCTTGTTATCTAGCTTTCCTATTTACCAGTATTGTTCAGAACCGGTGCGAACAGCAGAACACCCTTAAAGAAATAATTTTTTTCCAAGTCTATTCGAGCTTTTTTAATTTTTAGAAATCTTACTTAACTTTTTGAAATCTCACTCTGTTTTTGAGAAAGGGTGAGAAATTCTCCCCCATTTTTTTTCTGTAATGAAAACACTGCAAACCTACGAATGAAAAATAATAATGAAATCGCTCAGTCTGAAACTAGCCTGCAACAGTTGTACCTGACTCAGTGGGTACACCTATTGACAGAATAAGTTAATAATGATTTTTAATTTCCTTCATTTCGAGGCTGAAAAAGCTGGTCACAAAAGGAGTCAAGAATACATAAAAAACAAAATTTGATGATACAGTACTTACACAGACTTCTCTGCCCCTCTCAAGATTTTCACAAAACTTGGATAATTTTGAAGACGATTCCACAAATATTTCAAAAAATAGTCATGAAAAGATAGACATTCAAACATGTGCTCTAAAATGATCTAAAATACATCAAGATAACACACAATGTATTCATATTATGAAATTTATAAACTATAAACAAAATTAAAATAACAACAAAAATTAAATCAACATCTAACTATTGTCTATCATCCTGACTAAACCATTAGGATATTTTCTCCAATTGAAGATTAAAATTCTAAAAATCATAAACCAGTAAAAAAAAACAAAAAAAAAACGCTTACATTTTTTTAAAAAATAGTTTATTTTCATAATTTAAAATATCATCTGCCTTCATTAATTAGCATATTGAAGGATTGGATGTCTAACCCTTGAACCATCATTGCGTTTTAGTACACGAAAATCTGATTGTTAGATAAAGAGTTATTTCAGAGGTATTCTATTTTTTGTGCATTGTAGAGTAAAACTAGTGCAAAACTTGAGAAATGAAGGATTCCCTAAATAATTTTATTGCATTTTCGACTGCAAACCACAAGAATTAAGTACCCATGTAAAATCAGTGCTATTTTGTGTGGTTAATAGCATAGAGAGAGACTAAGTAAACATATTGAGTTTTTTTTCTTCTTCTTTTTAAATTTTATTTTGCTCTTTTACTAGCAATTTGTGAATTTGGACTTTTCTTGTTATTGTACCAGGCTCCTCATTTCTTATAAAAGGTATGACTGTTGAATTTATAAAAGAGGTAACAAAACGGAGCAATGTATTTATGCTGGCAACAAATTATAAAATCATAAACATCATTTTCTGAAAAATATATTATACAGAATTCCACATTATATTACCACATGTATATTCCACATTATTTTGGGAAAAATATTCCTCATTATTTTCAAAGATACAATGAAATCACTCAAATAAATTTCAATTATGTTATACAGAGAGAACATAAAGTAAAATCAACTCACATTAATGCATACATTAAACTGCAGAGATGTGATCTGAAACAAAATAAAGACTCAATAAATCCAATGCTTGAAAAGTTAACCACTGAACTTTTTTAAATTGTTTTAAATTATTAATAAGTCTCATGCTTGAAACATCAATATTAAGTTGCTATTCAGTTTAGCTGCTGGGTGGTAAAGGAAGAATTGCAGATTCCTTTCATTTTAGAATAAAATGAAGTTCAGATTTGTCAAAAATATTTTTAACCAGTAAGGACAAATTTATTTAATACTTTATAACAATTGATTTAAGTCAACTTAATTTGAGAAATAAAATTCAGGCTAATAGTTTCAGCCAAGTTAAGCAATAGAGGGAAATAGTGTATCAAGAATCTCTAGGTATTTCCATGCATATTTATCAATATTACTTATTCAGCCGTTAATCTAAAGTTGCTTGCTTCTTAGTAAACCAGAATGTTTAAATAATAATATTTTTATTATATTTTTTATCACAGCACAGAAAATCTGACAAAGCTGCAAACTTATACTGATTTGAACCCGTAACCCAATAATGATTTAAACAATGCTTCATAAACAATATGTAAAAAGTAATAAGTAATTTCCTTAGTTGAATATGGAACTAATTAGGAGAAAGCTAGAAATAGAGGTTTGACTTCAATAAGAATAACTAAAGTTAACTCTTTTCCCTTAGGTAAGCTTTAGCTGCCATCTTGAATTTAATGAAAGGAGGGTCAAGGTGAAACTTTCTATCCATGCAAGAGGTGTTTGTTTCCTATTTTTATTCTAAATCGAAAGATACCAGAACCAAGTTGATAGTACTAGTTGTTCAGAAAATATAAGGGAATCATTAAGTATAAAAAAGTATAATTTTGGATTTATACCTACTTATGCATCTAATATTACTATCTGCCTAATTGCCTCAAGTCATTGTGACTCAAAATGTCACGAGATTCAAATTATTTTTTATAGCATAAGTACCTTAAAAAAGCAAATTCTGTCAGTTTTTCTTCTAATCATTCAAGAATATGATATGAGGAAATTTTATGGAAGCAACTGTCCGTTGCTTTCTAAAAAATTGGTCCTTAAATGGTATTCACTCTTAGAATTTTCAACAATTGCCCAAACATTTATCTGAAAAATATATACTAATTGTTCGAAATTTTTATTTTGAACTCTTAAAAATCCACTAAAAGTGTTGTTTTCTAATTATCCACTAGTATTACTCTCCTAACTATTATTCTCTGCTATTCTGACTCCTATTTACACCAGTTCAAGGTCATTAAGTGAGGTCATCAGGGCACACAACACATTTTAGCGGAGAAAAAGAGACCTTCTGTAGTTAAAGAGAGAACTTAGAGGACCATTTATATTTTGAAAAAAGGACTTAGATGGACCATTTACAGTAAAAACAATTTAGTTTCAGTTATGACAATAAATGTTTCAGTTATTTATTGTCAAATTCATTAACATAAATTCATACAAAAATGAAGGCTTCTTTCATAGGTTTACAAAATGTTTTTTTGTTCATCTACTAAAGAAGAAAAAAACCTGAGTGGCTCTAAGAGGATTTTTTAATATTAAATTGATAGGATAAAAATCGGTGGCTAAAAAGGTGTCCTTAGTTGCTCTGTTGTGTTGGTCTTTCATAAAAGTTCCACTATAGTAAAATTTAAATATATTTATTTTTCCTCAAATTACTTACTGGATATTTGTGTTGAAGATTTGATGGGAAGAAACAAGCTTTATTTCTTATATCTTCGTCCTCATCTTGAAGTAGAAGCAAACAACCTTCACACAGACTGTTAAAGAAACATACATAAGTATTTGAGGACAACAAATATAATATTAATTTGAAAAGTCGTTTACGGGGAGAAAAAGCAGGGCATATGATCAGGCTCTTGACTGAGATATCAATTTTTTTTTATATATTTATAAAAATTTTGATTTTTGTGAAAAATTTATTTTTGGTATTGAAAATTTATTTACTTCCCTTGTAAAAAGCTTTTAGTCTCAACTTTCTATTCACACAAATAAGATAGAATATTCTATGAATTTATAGATCAATTTTTTCTAATCATAGAAACTCTTAAAATTTAGAATATAAGATATATTTAGCATTTCATTTTCTGATTAATAAGCGGGGATCACAAACCAAGGCACCATGTACCAATTATAAAAACGAAACGAAAATCAAAAATTTGGAAAGTAAATTAAAATTAATAATAATAATAGAAAAAAATGAAGCCATTATGTTCTCAGGAACAAAATTTGAGAAAAAACAAAAATCCATTTTAAACTTATTTATTAAAATTGATCATACGATTATATCGTTCATAATCAAACATAATTTCAAGTGGCATATTTTTGTAAGGATTCAACAAAAAGTGAATATTTAAAAGGCCTCCTGAAAAATGTTTCGCACAAAGTCTAGTGGCATCTCCACAGTTTATTTTAGTAATTGGAGTATAATTAATTTTAGGTTACATATAATACAAGTTTTGGATCTGAAACTAACTTGATAAGCAAAGAAGATGCTGTTTCATGATCAGTTTTGAGCATCTGTATGAGATGGTTGTCTAATGTGATGCCAAGAGCAGTGACAGAATGAGCAGCCTGCATTCTCAGCAGATCAGGGCTTCGAGCATGACAAAATGAGTGGAAGTGCTTAATCCATGAACTTAAAGAATGTCTGAAAACAAAGTTAATTACTAAATTAAATAGTTATATCAGCATTTCCTACTTCAATACATGATTAAACATTTAAATATACTTAATGAATATGAAGGAGAAAAAAAAGACTGCTTATTTTTGAAATACTTATTAACCTAATTAAGAAATTTTCAATATTGAATTACTATTTAAAGTTAAGAAATGCAGTCTTTTGTTGAATTGGCACATCATCAAAGCACTTCATAAATTTTGTTGAAGAGACATATACATAGGGTGACCAGATGTCTTCAAATCTTCAGGACGGTCCAAACTTCATTAGTTATCCTCAAAAACTTCTAAACTCTTTAAGGACAGATAATGTCCTCAAATCTTAACACATGTACTGGAATTTCTCCAAAAATATCTTGTTCCTTTTACACACAATGATAGATTGAAAAAAAAAAGGAAACAAGGAAAAGCAAAAGTTCACCATGCTAAAACTATTTTATGAAAATTCCTTACTCGTTGAAAAATAATTTCAGAAAAAAATGAAATAAAAAATAAACACGTTTATTTTACCTGAAACAAATGCCGAATATCATGTGATGTTTCAAAACTGCTTAGAAATGAAATCAAGTTCATCGTTCTGCACATGGTTATCTGCACAGTTATCAATTTTTTTAAAAAAAGAAATCTTTGTTGCACGTATAAATTATTTCCTATAAATATATGTGTCATGCTGAAATATGTGTAGCATATTTCCTAACATTTAAATTATTATCTTATTTAATAATTTTCTCAGTTAATAAAAATCATTTAATATAATATGTAATCTTTTTATACCACAACCTTGAATTGAGTGCAAAATAAAATAATTTTTTCAGAGATTCCCTGTACATTTGCCAACACATTAGAATAGATTGGGAAACCGGTATATGGTTGCTGATGTTTTGCTTTCAATAAAATTTGATATTATTTCTCAAGCATTCTTTACCACCAACACATTTGAATGTGTAAGGTTAAGAAAAAGAGCTTTAGCATTAAATTTAATCAATTAATAGCCAATACATGGGTTCCTTAACTTTCCTTGGCAAAACTATATTAACATATACATGGGACTTGCAATTTCGATTTCTTGGTGGACGGAGGTGCCGTGTTGGGCTTGGCCCGGCAACCACACCCTCAGGGCCATTTTCCAAATTTATAACTCGATAATATATATTTTTATTAAAAATTAAGATTAATCTTGATTTTTGAGCTCAACATAAATTTCAAAAGTAAAGCAGTTTCAGTTATTTAAAAAAAGAAAAGGATTAAATAAGATAATAATTTGGCTTACACACATAAAATGAATCCACTTACACACTAAGGCGCATCAAATATTTCAGAAATTGTGGAGTTGACAAAGAAAATTAAAGAGTGATGCATGACATGCAATTATAAGGGCATGTGATTCTCTGATGATAAAAAAAAATTGTGTACCAACAGATTTATATTGGCTATATTATAACAGAACTTATATCACTCCCAATCAAAAGTTCCCAACTCCCAATCAAAAGCTCAAATATAATTCTTTTCTTCCTTCGAAATTCTTTGTTTTGTCTAACAACTGAAAAGCATAATTATAAATATTCTTATTAATAGACACGTAAACGAGTAGAGGATTCATATTTTTAATAGGGACCAGCTTTTAGCAAAAAGGGACCCAAACATTTGAATGTCTAGGTTCTTATGAGCCCAAAATTTATAAAGTCTGGTGGAATCACTACACGTAGAACAAATCAGTAGAATTTAAACACAATGATTATAACAAATACCTGGAAACATTATTTTCTTCAATATGAAATCTGATGATGAATGACCATGCTGTTAATGAGGTTGCCACTACTGACAGGCTGGACTTAGTTTCTAAGAAGTATATCAGGCTTTTTTCTAAGGCCTCTGTGGCCTCAGAATTAAGAATCAACTTGCCAATCCTCCAGTCTTCACACATGAGAATGATGAGCTTCAGCGCTTCTAAAACAACACTGTAATGGTTTTCTTTTTGAACAAATGAAGCAACACATACCTAAAATGTTTGGAAATAATGACTTCAAGATCACTAAAAATATCTTTAAAAAATATGTTCAGCCCATAACCGAAAATTTTCCAGTTTCATTTTTTAATTTCAAATTTAGCTACATGTATAAAATTACACCAATTATAAAAAACTTTGTGTAAGATAAACATGTAGCTCTTGTTTAAATAAACTGGCAAATGTAAATTAAGACAGATAGAGAAATAATCCCCTCTTAGTGTGCATGTGCTTTTATAAAGTTAAACCCAGAAATTTTTATTATTTTTTTTAAATATTTCAATTGTTCATTATTATAATCAGAAAAATTTAAAATAAAAATATATACTCAAAATGAAAATGAATTTACAGGAGGACAAGCAATGTATTAGACTTCATTGTTAAACTGCATAATATAATAACTTAACACATTAAAAGCTTATTATAGTTTCACATATGAGTACTCTAGGACAGTCACATGCATTCAAGGCTGAACACAGAACAAAACTCCTTGCTAACCCGTTCCTTTTTAAAATTCAAAAAGTCAAAGTTTGTGAGCATTTTTTAAAAAAAAATTCAAAAATATTATCACTTATGACACAAAATATCAATTTTCATTAAAGTATAAAATATTGATCTCCTATTCTTTATGCTTATTTTAACTAAAATCTAAACGTTAGTTTACATTTTTAATGTGTACTAAACGTGAAGAATTGTTTATTAGAATTGTGACCATTACAATCACACATAAATGTGTATATATACATATAAAAGAGGCAGGGAACATTATTAACTCAAGATTCAAATAATCACATATAGATCCTATCACTATCTAAGGTGGTACAACTAGAAAAATCAAAAATCTACATTATTCAGAGCTGATGCGCCTTGAATTAGTTCAGGCTGATGTAATTCCTATCACTCTCTTTAGATGATGCAATATGTATGCTCTTTCTCACACTTTAATAGTTACATCCTGTCTTTTGATCTATTTTTGGCTTCAAGTTATGCATTAATTAACATTTTTGATACTTCCCTTTATTTTAAGTGAGAAAGACTTTTTCCCTCAACCTTTTTAATAGACCAATTATAATTATTGAGAATCCCCTTATTTCCTAATGGGAAATATTTTACAGTTTTATTTTACAAGATTTTCCCTAACCTTTATTTGGTTTTGTGTCACTTGAATATTCATTCTCTGATTATGATGCTTTTTTTAAAATCATGTGCCTGTTTGTCCTGCTCGCACAACTGCCACCCTTATATATATATATATATTCATCCTTTAGGAAACCTTTGTAAATCTGGCATCAATGAGGCATACATGAAAAGGCTATGGTTTGTATCAAGCACAAATTTTGATAGAAGAATAAAATCAAAATAAAATTTTCAAAATTCCCTGCTACATTTTCCAAATGAGTAAGATTTAAGAGGACACTATACCATGGGAGAAATATTTCGTCGCAAATTCTCTTTCACCTCTATAAGTAACTTAAAATTTACAATATGGGAAAAGTGAGTTCAGACGAACCTAGAATACTGAAAAGAAATTTTTAAAATATCTAAATAAAAATAAATTATGAGAACATAACTTAACTTTTAAAAAAATTATGAGAACCTAATTATGCAATGGAGAAGCTCCCTTCAAAAATTTGTTTGCATTTTGATATTTTAAATTTTCTTTCAGCAATTGAAATTTCAGAGCTAACTCTAGGTTTGCTTCAATTTTTCTGTAATTTAAATTTTAAATTAGTTGAATTTAGCAATGAAAAGTTTCTCCCATGGTATGAAGTCCTCTTAGCCAGTTAATAAAAATTCTTACAAATATCCCTTGCAAAGATTCTTTCAGAGAAAATAAATCCTTTTTATCTCTAGGAAACAGTTTAGAAGAGAGAAAGTGAAGACACTCAATTTGAATAAACAAATCAACATTTGTCAGTTGAGAAATGAAGAGAGGAAGCTCATCAAGATGGAGGCTCTTCAATCGACACCAAGTCAGGTTCTTATCACATAGTACTCGACCTACCTAAAGGGAAAGATAAATAAAACCTAAACAACGAGGGATAAAACTACATTTAAAAAAAATAATAAATAAAAAAAATAATAATGAGTACCCTTATTGTTTATTTGACTAGATTCATAACTTTAACTTGAATTACTAAACTAACTATCAAACATAGAAGTTAGTTTTTTATAAAAAAAATTTTTAAATCTTTATTAGGTTAGATTCTAAAAAGTATTATTTCCCTCATACAGTTAGGATAATTTTTTGGTATTGGCTCACTTTCATTGGCTGAAATTTTTGGAATAATTTAGGTCATATTGTATATCTCAATATCTCTTGCAATTCTGCCCTTCTCAGATGTTTGTTTTTCTTCCTAATTAATATTATTTCAAACTTTATTGAGATTTGCATCACAATTTTCAACATACATACACTAGTAATACAATTGCTAAAATGAAATAATGTTTTGGATTGAAATTTTTGTTTAATTATAACGAATTTCTTTTTTCCAATTTTAAGAACTTTTCAATGCTCATAAGTTTATTTATTTATTTATGTTCTCAAAGGCATTTTTGCTATTTTAAGGGACTCTTCTGGGTTATCGAAATCTGCTAATATGAGATGTAATAATATTAAAAGAAATATAATACTAAAAGATATCTGACTAAACCCATAGCAATAGAAACATTAGTTACCAAATATTACCTTTTCATATTTAATAACATATATATCTGTAACAAATTCTTTCGCATACAAATGTTTAAAGAGAGAATAGATTTAAAATCCTTCAATTGCTTTAAAAAGAGTCTACTTTTTAATTGGTACTTACAAATCTATATAGGAAAATGATAAAATACCTTTACCATTATAACTTAACTTTAATGGTTTAAATCAATGATTTTCTTAAAAAAGTGAATGATTTATATTACTGCTTTTCATCATTTGATTTAATTGTTGTCACATTAAGTAGATTTAGCTTCTGTTTACACTAATATATGCAATTGCAAACTTTAGATTACCTTACAAATATTTACACTCAGTTTTGCTATAACCAGTATAGTATGAAATTTGACCAGTATAATACATATTACCTGTATAATATGAAATTAGACATTTTGAAAGCTTGAGTTTTTTAAAGTGTGCCACATTACTTGAAAGATTAGTCATTTTTATAACTTAAAAACTAAGAAATCACAAAAAAATTTGAAATTTTTACTTTAGAACAAATACTTTATAAATGGAATATTTACTTTAAAATAATTTTCTTCTTCATAACCTTGAGTCTCTTTGACGATTTCCAGCAATGAACAATATGAATTACTTTGATTTAAAATTATAAATATGCTCAACATTTGTGCATTTAATATAGGAACTTGCACTTTTGTAATTACTCTATAGAGCAATTTCAGATGATCAATAATTTCAGTGTCACTGCCAGCTAATCTGAAATAATAACAGTACAAATAAATTGCCAAAAAATTTAAAATATGATTACCCAAACAATTTTCATAATGATAATTCATACATCAATTCAGTGAATTAATTTTTACACATTTGAACAGGATGCTTGGACTAATTGAAAAAATATTTATAAAAGGTTTGCTTTAAAAAAATCAAGAAGGGATTATATATGTTTAGTTTGTAGAAAATTTTGCAATTTCTTTTAATAGTTTGCAGAATCTTGAAAATTTCCATATCAATAATTCTACTTAAAGTTTGAGGATGATTTCATTGAATTAAGAGTGGATTTTGCACATTTTTGACAAATAATTGTAAGCTTATTCTTTAAAATAATTATTTTTATTAAAAATTAGAGCTTTTTTGTCAGCTAAGTAGTAATTATTATCAAAAAAAAGTGTAATAAAATGTAAAATTTAGGGCCTTCTTAAAAACAATAAGAAAATTTAAGATCACATTGTAAATATGCTCTGAATCTAACTTAAGTTGTCTTGAAAATTTTACTAGCTTTGATTTTACATTGAGAATTCTATTAAGCATTGCGAGGCGTGGTGGCTCAGAGGATAGAGCGTTTCCTTCCAATTAGGTGAACCGAATTCGAATCCCAGGGATGGCTGGTTCATATGAATTCTGCATCTAGCTTGCATAAAATATCCTCAGTAGTAGACAGATGATGGGTTAGAGTCCCCTTGCTGCCAGGCGTGATTTTCGTGGTTTTCCTCACCATGTAACTCAAATGCAGGCTAGCTCCATCAAAGAAAAGTCCACCACAAAGGCAAATTTCTCCTAATACTTGATCTAGGAGTTCTCTTGTCTCTTGGATTGGTTTTTAAATTACAAGGCTATAGAGTTGAACATTAATGGTTGTAAACCCGAAAATTGGGTCGGCTGTTGAAGGACTGTTATAAAATAATTCAGCATTGTAAAAGAACAATGCTTATCGTGCTTTAAATCTTGCAATAATGTATATTGACTTGTATTAATTTGCAATGAAACATAATAAAATTGAATTTTTCAATAAAGAAATAACCCAAATATATTTTTAAATATTCATTTAAAGTACCCGATCATTTTGACTGTTTATTGTATTCATCAAAACAATATAGTGTAATAAAATGTAAAATTTAGATCCTTCTAATTACGTAGCTATGAAAACTTAGGTGTTTATTTTATATACTTTGTTTCAAGACATATAACAAAATTTCTGAATTTGAAATTTCCTCAATTATTTTTTAGATAAACAATATATATTCTTGCTGTTAAGTAGAAAATAAACATCAAAACAGGAGGTAAAAATTCTTAAATTAAACAACATATTGAAATAAGTTTAAAAACTCTTCAAAGTTCAATTTTATGCATAAAATTTAAATCAGTAAAGCTATTCAATCACATAAAGAAGTTCATTTTTTTTAAACTCAACGAACGGTTTTAACAAAGAAAAAAATCACTGATAATAAACATTTGAAAATATTACATATTAAACATATCTAAATTTTTAGGAAAAAAACTCTGAAATTTGAGTTTTTAACTTTGCACTTTTTATTTTCTGAACTTTCAGATGGTGGGAATCCGGCAACAAAGAACTGGTTTTCTCCAGTTATTTTGTAAGGATCAAGTGCATAGCTGGGAAAACTCTGTATAATTTAGACTACAATCTAAACACATGGAAGATTAAACAAATTTTAAAAAATATAAACTATTAATATACTAGAAAAAGTGAACTACTTACAAATTGTTTCGCTTAAAGAACTTTTCAACTGTCCATAATATTCCATGAATAAAATTGCATTTTATATTGCCTTGTTCTAAGCTTAGTTTGATATTTTTACATAATTCAGAAACATCTTCAATTGTTATGACAACAGATAAAATCGATGATACGAGGTCTCTTATTTTCCAAACAGGGATCCCTAACAGTTCTAACATTAGACTCTTCAATTCCACAAATAATGTCCTGAAAATTAAAAGCAAGGGTACTCAAACATTAGAAAAGTTTAAGAATAATATAAACACAAATTTGTATTTGAGAAGTTAATAGTAATAGACAGGGCTGGAAGCCCAGAATATAAAAATTAAGGACTCAATTGCCCCCAAATTTAAGGATGTAGACTGCTTAATGGGAGCAACTTCCAGGATACCAACAATTACAATTTGCAAAAATGCAATTGGTAATAGTTTCAGTAATTCCTGCACTTAAGCAAACAAATAAACATTTCTCAGAAAACTTATGTGTGTGTTTTGTGGGGCTAGTTGTTTTCGACAATGTTAACCTTCATCTATGAAAAGGTACCCCACAATAGTACCCCATCACGTTCGGGTCACCAATGTGGGAAGAGTAGTTATCGACAATGTCAACCTTCATTTATGAAAAGGTGCCCCAACATAGAATCGAGTTAACATGTTTTATATACTAGTGAATTAGAATTGTATTTTTGTAGTGGTAGATACATTACAGTTTTTTTTTAAGTGATTGTTTTTTTTAAAAAGAAGTTATGCAATTTTTTTTCATATATATATATATATGTAAATAAAGTGGGAGAAAATTAGTATAAATATTGGAAATCATTACACAGTAACAAAATACAAGGATTCTCTTGCGAAAATTAGTATGATATAGTGATGGAAGGAGAAAAAAAGAGATAAGAGCTTTTTATATATTTCTCCCACATGGAATGTTTTGTACCATCAAGTCAAGGGTAATTGGCTTTAATAATGGAAGTAAACTAATACCATACTAGACACGCTATAAAAACTCAGGCGTTCATTTTATATACTTTGTTTCATGACATATAACAAAATTTCTAAATTTGAAACTCCTTCACTTATTTTTTAGGCAAACAATATATATTCTTGCTGTTAACTTCATTAAAATTTGGAAAATACAAAAATTTCAGGAATTTTATTGAAATTTTTATTAATTAATAACACTTTCTTTTTTAAGAAAATTAAGGACTACTTTGTGCCCTGAATAGACAATGCAATAAATATTGTTGCTGTTCATTTACGTCGCACTACAGCTGCACAATGGGCTATTGGCGACGGTCTGGGAAACATCCCTGAGGATGATCCGAAGACATGCCATCACAATTTTGATCCTCAGCAGAGGGGATGGCACCCCCACTTCGGTAGCACAACGACCTGCGCGTGCGAAGTCGAGCACTTTACAATAGAACAGTTTAACGAGGACCAATACCGCACACCCTCGGTCCCTACACACACTGATCCAAGTTGTCACCCACCCGCACACTGACCGCAGCCAGTGATGCTTGACTTCGGTGATCTGCTGGGAACCATGTCTTAACGATCAGTTCACTGCAGGACTGCAATAAATATTAATAGCCCCCTTACTGCCTTTACATAGATTTATACGATTTCTTGTTTTTCTTTTGAAATCTCTCATAAAAGAAAACCATTTAACACAGTCATAGCACCAAGGCTCTAAAAACACTAGGTAAAATGTCAATCCTGACAACTTTGATGCTTGGACATTTCGTTGGAAGCCATGTATGAATGCAGTAGGGGCACATTTAATGTGTTACATTAATCAAATCAATGTTCTTTTTTTTTTTTTTAAAGATTTTACCAGCATTATATTTTAAAGAATCCCTGATATTAACTGCTAAAAATTCTGTCTCATGATGCGTTCCAAGTGAGATTATATCATTTCATTTTATTATTTGGCCCAATGTTTCACAATTTTTAAAGCAATGCTAAATTTAAAATTTGTTATCAAAAAATATCCGAAAATTCCAATTATAAATTATGCAATATTTTGCAGAAATCAATTATCCCACACTGCCATTCCACCCATTACCATGGATAGTTGGGAGACAAAAAAATTAACCTAATGTCTATTGAAGAAAATATAACAAAATTTATAAAATATAAATAATTTTTATCTATGTAATCAATATTAATCTATCATTCTTTATGGCTAATAAGAACAATTAATTTATAAGCATAATTATCTTATAAGTATAATTAATAATTAGGTGAGATCCTTTTAAGTATGAACATTGAAACAAATACTATACTTTTTTTTTTTTTAAAAATTTACAATGTACCAAAAATAACTAAATAAATCTAACCAATTTTCTTCTTGAGGTGGATTTAATTTCACAATAATTGATAAAATTGGAATTAATTCTGAACTTAATTTTCCCTGCTTATGAAGTTTGACACATTTTTCCAACTGTTGAAGTAAGTACATTTCTAATCTTGGACATCGAGAGAACAATTCTGATGCTGAAACCATATTATATTCAGAATCATCTTCAGCTACTTTTTTCTGACCACAAATACGAGGTAAAAGAACACCTGGGAAAAAAATAGAAAATCATTTTAACATTCTAATCTTCTTTTTTTTTAAATCTAAAGACAAAACAAAAAAATTTACTGTTCATAAATACAAATAAATGTCGATTTTGCTTGAAATACTTATTTTCTTGTACACAAAATTAGTTTTCCATAGTTCTAGTAACAAATAAAAATAAATAAGATAAATAAATAAACATTAACAAGTGCTGTACACATGAAATTTAAATTGAGAAATAATATGCATTTTTCTCAAACTAACTTTTTGTTATAATTACATAAATTTATAATAATTATAATGTTAATATATATGTTGTAATGTTAATGTTATAATATAAATTATAATGTTATAATTACATTAATGTTCGAAAATGAAATTTAAAATAGAAATATAGTAAATATGAATCTTTCATTTTTATATCAGTTTCAACCAAAGACTATTTTTCTTTCTTAATTTCTTTGTTGAGTTCTCTATATCAAGCTTAATGATTTTAATGATAAATAAGCTCAGAGTTCTTTTAAAACGGTGTTGTAATGTTAAAAAATGAATTGGTTTGAAAAAACAGAAAAAGAAAGAAAAATTTACAATAAGCTCTGTAAAGAAATTATATGCAAAAGGAAAAAGATAAAACTTCCAAAATTACTGTACAAAGGTACAAATAAAAGTGATATACCGAATAGTTGCAAAGCACCATTGCGTACTGGCCACAGTGTAGAGGAGAAACCCGAGACACAGGCAGGAATGAGGCTGTCCAAGTGCAGGAGAATTGCTTGAGATAAACTTGCTTCCATCACCAGTGCTTTGAGTATGTGATATGCATGAGCCTGAGGCAAGTCTGTTTTGTCACTGATCTCGGTGTCGGATGGCAAAGGCAGGCTCACAGTTTTGAGCAGAGCATTTATGATGTAGGGAAGCAACCTCCTCTAAAAGAATCATAATATACAGATTATCAATTTAATTAAATACAAATAACATTAAGCTACAATATGCAATAATTAAAGAAATTATACTCCGTACATTAATGTTAGACTTTTCACTTGATACTACAGCAAGGCAAAGCGATGGTAAGCCAGCAGATCTTCTGGTCACTGAGGTTGATGAAGCACCAGATAAAGATTCAAATACCTAAATAGTAATAATTTCATTACATCAATTTTAATTTCAATATAATATTAAAAAAGAATGACAGTTTCTCTTTTGAAATTATGCTAATTGGTGGTCTTTAAAACTATATCTAAGTCATTAAAAAAAGAAAGAAAAATGCAATTGTTAAACTGCCCTTTGTTCACAGTTCTAGAATTGTAGCTTCCACTCAGCTATAGACAAAGTCAAATACATATTGAAGTTTGTAGAGTAAGTATAAATTCATTGTGCAATTGTCGGTATTAATCTTTATTATGAATCAATAAAAATTCATTTTCAACTCTTCACGAATGAAATGGAGCATGTTTTAACTGCACAAAAGCTAAAATTGTACAGTTAAATACTGTGATAAATAAAAATATCAGATACCCATTATTATAAAATGAAATTGATGTTGCTAAGTATGAAGAAAAACTAAATTAATTTAAAATTATATAAACTTTTAAGCAAAAAAAAAACCTAACTCAATAGTGTATGATTTAAATTAAAGTAAGATAAACTAAATCAAATACTACGCAGATTATTTGTCTATATTTACTTTTATAGTAAAAATTCATGTTTGAATACAGGATCTCACGCATTGCTTCTGGGTGGTATCCCTGTTTGATGGGCCCGAGCCAATGGACAATCTTTAGTGCAGGAATGTTAATTTAAGGTGGGGGATACGAAAAGCTGTAAGCTCGCTTCTTGGATAGACTGGCAAACTGCGGTGACCATACACTTAAGAGCACAAAGATCAATTATTGGGGCTATATCAAAAATGAGTTTTATTATATGTCAAGCCAATCGACAATAAAAAACTATTCAGCCATTTTAAATTTAGGTAAAACCAAAATGCCAAAAAAGTTCAATAATAAATTGTAGTACACCTGTTATTATATTAGTGTACAAATGGCTGAAGAGAGAAAGATTATAAATAGAATTTTCTTATATCAAGTTGTTGTGATATTAAATAATAATTAATTGTGTATTTTTATTAAAATAATACTTTACATTAAGAAAGATAATAAAAATGAATATAGACTTCAGAAATAAAAAAAAAACTAAAAAGCTATGGAGTATGTAATGCCTGTATTAGCATGAAAATAATTAATATGAATATAAAAGAAAAAAATTATATTTTATCGATTTTTTATTAACAATTAAATTTTGTTGCTTTTAGTTTCAAATTTATCTTAAGAAATTGTGATATTAAAAACTCAGACACACGAAGTTCACATTATACACGGGTCATGGGTTTGTTTAGGTTGAAGACAAAAATCGGCTTAAGACTTCTAAATTTTATTTGTAGAAACTTCTAGATGATAAGAGATCAACACTCTAATTTGATAATTGCAGTTAAAATAACAGTGTAATACAGCAGAAAGGATAGCAAGAATCTATCCGCAAACTTCAGATGGTTCAACAAATGGCGTCGCAATCTCAGTGAACTAGATCTAGGTCAGTGAACTAATTCATTTACAGCTCGAAGGTCAAAACACTTTTGTAGTCACAAATAGAATTCCCTCATATTGGGAGACACACTCCAATTTATATAGGCTTGATGATAAAATCACCGGATTTTCACCATGATTCTAGATTATTCTCGCATAACTCCATTAACATTGGTCCTATCAGTTTGAAACTCTCCAGTTTCCAGAGCTATAATTTTGTCACCAAGTCAATAAAGTTTCCATGGGTAATACATCAGGTGTTAATTTCTTTCTAAATTCTGTGATTTTCTTTATAATGCTGATTATTCAGAGTTCATCTGAGATATTTAGCCAAACACCATAATATTTAGCCATAAACAAAGAATGTTCATTAAATCACATAAATAGAATTCATAATATAATAAAAAAGAATTTTTCTCAACATAATTTTTTTAATTTGTATAATAAAATCAATAAAAAATATTACCATACTAAGTAAGTATTTGCAGATTTCATCATGAAGTTTCTCTTCTTTTAGCAGTTGTACACAGAATTTATTCAATGCTAAACTACAAGCATCCACAACACCCTGAAAAAAGCAACTCAAGCTATTAAACTAAAATAATTAAACAAGGTATGTAACTGTAGTAAGTAACTCAAAACTGACATTGGTCAGTTTTAAGAATTTAATTTTCATACATTTTAAACTAATGAAAGCCGACTTAGATGGTGCTGAACAATTCTTATGACTTAAATTGCACAAAGTTATTTAAAAGAAATTTAAAAACAGACAACTGTATACTACTTAACATGCAGAATTGTATCAGCATAATTTTGTCAGAAAAAATTAATGGAGAATTTAAAATACCCAAAGCTTTATATCTCAAATTCTGATAGGGTAATGCCTTGCATTTTACATGCATCAAAATATATTACCAAATAGATTAAATATCAGCTAATAAATAGGATTAAAAACATATTTAAAATCTTCAACTACGGCTCCACATCTTTGATAATTGGGTTTGAATCTAAGATCATAAAGTCTGTATTTGAAACCCCTGAATGATTTTTCTCAATTTCAAATTCGCTTTATTCAACGAAAATAACTATTATTGGCTTATTTATATGAAGGAAAAGTTAAGTTAATGTTACAAGTGAATGAAGCTTAACATAAATAAAAGCCTATCAAAACTTGTTGGTTCATGCAGTATTATTTCTACTTTTATTCATGTTGTTTTGTTTTATCCAAATCAATTCATTTAATAATAACTTTTTAATATTTTTTTTAAAAAAAGATCTAATACCAAATTCATAAATTTTCAACTTAGCATAATGATTTTTTCCCTTTCTATTGACTTCATTCAGAGTATAATTTGCTTTCTAGAAAACAAGTAAAAACTGTGAGACAAAAAAAATTTTATAAAGCAAAAAAGGAACTAAATTCTATTCTAAGCTAAGTTTATGGTCAATAGTTAAAAGTAACATGCATAAATGAATCAATAAAAAAAACTTTCTTTCTTGATGATACTATGTTTTGCTGTTGATGATTTTGAATTAAAACTCTGATTTAAAATAAAAATATATTTCTTTGGAGCAAAATTTTTGAAATTTTATTTTAATAAAAAATAAGGAATAATTTTATTTCACGATACATTTCCTACAATCTTGTTAATTTAAATCGAAGTAACGGTTATACTTTTATAAGTCATTATTTACTGTTAAAATTTAGTTTTCATTTTCTTAAAACTTGTATGGTGAAGTAGCTAAAAGCAAGCATAGATAACCTACTCTGTGTCGACTTGATATTAATATGGAAGAGAAAATCTCGGCAATTCTTTTCAAATGATTCAATTTCTGGAACGTCTCTAGTTCGAGACAACAAAAGTATGTAGACACTTCACATAACAGAGAGCAACTATTCTAAAATGAAAGAATATTGAATCTTGTCAATAATTCAGTGCATTTTAACATTTATTACTTTTCATAAAGTATATTGAACATTAAGGAAATTTAAATAATTAAAATTGCTTATTATAACAAAACAAGAAAATTTGATAGTAATAAAAATAAAATGTATAAATTATACTATAGAAATAAAACAAAGAACATGCATAAAAAATTTATAACACAACTAAATAGTTAAAAGAAAATATATAGTAAAAGTTTAATATAGCGAGCATGGTATGTTGTGAGGAGTCTGTTCTAATGATTGGTTTTAGAGTCACTATCAAAGATTATGCAGATAAATAAATTATTAGCCTTCCACCATTGTAGCAATTTTTTTAGACGGATATAACATTTTCCCGCCGTCTAAAGGAGCAATTCTGTATTCTGTAAGGAAAAGACCAAAAGTGGAGAAATTTTTATTTCTTTCAGGTATCAATGTTACCGTGAATTAACAAAATCAAGAGAATGTCGACTTTCATGGATGAATGTCAACAATCACAGTCATTTTGGTGAATGTTGAATATCCGATTTGACATTAATTTATTTGTTGATATTATTATATTTATTCGATATTTTAATATCAGCTGAGAATAGATTAGGAAAAACATCAGTGTTCGGAGTACCAGTTGAATGCATACCAGGCAGTAGCACTGACCCTTAAAAAAACAGTGATCTAGGGCAAACCGGGTAGTGGCACTTAACTAGTCCCAACATATATTTCGGCCATTTACCAAAGCCAGCATTCGGTCATTGAAAGTATTCACCAGTGGAAGTCAACAACCACCAATTTCGTTCATTCACAATAACTCAATACAGAAAAGTGAAAAACAAACATTATTTCTCCTTACTCCCCACAATCTTAATCCTTTAAGTTTCTAAAGAAACTTGTGTGAGCAATTACTAGCCAATTTATCTTCCACCTTACAAAAGAAAAAATTTTCTGCCATTTTTTAAGCATCTTGTTCAATTTAAAAGAATACTCCTTTTTAGACCACATACCACAGATATGCCCCCTTTTTTCTATTAGTGGCAGCTTACTGCTGAAATCAACACTCAGTGTTATCAGGAATGTCAAAAGCTATTGCACTTTTATTGCTATTTTAACATTAAATATGTGTCTACGCTAAAAACAACAAGCCAGCTATAACAATAATTTCCTTTGTTATTGTGAATGGGTGTTATATTGTACTGTGTGTAAAAGAAATGATAAAAAATATAATTAGAAAGAAAGAAATATAAAAAGAGAATACCAAAAAAACATATTGAGACATAATAATTAATTATATATGTATATAATTTTTTTCTTAAGTTAATCACGAATTGGTATTACTTTAATGCTATGCCAACAGCATGACAAAACAAGTTCTACTTCTGCAGTGGTTGGCTTCTCTAAAATTTCTTCTTGATCTACTATTGCAAGATTAGATTGAGTTTTGTCCCTTTGTAAAATAATTACATTTTCAAGAGCTTGACCAATGTCCAAAAATGATGGACCTACAATAACAAAACAACACAAAAAAATATTAAAAAGAAATAATTTTGAGAAATATTCAAATGTAAAGGAGAGAACAAATAAGTTTTATGGATCTTACAATTTTCTTTATCATCACCACGTTTCATAACAAGTAACATGGACTGCATGATGTCATCACACAAATTCAGAATGTCATAAAGAAAATTTAGGGTTCTGTTCTTTTCAGATTGGAAGAGCTTGAACACAACTCTGTTAAAACTAGACAAACAGTACTCTAATGCCAATAATAAGCCTAAAATAAAAGGTTTTTGACTTATGTCAGTAGCATTCTAAGTTAGAATAACTGAATAATATTTTATAACTATGTAATAAAACAAATCTCAGCAATTTACAGTTTATAATACAGAATCCTGCTTAACACTGAAAATAAGAATAAATGTTTTTAAATGATAATTTAATACTAAATAGTTAACTTTATTGATAGCACTGTCTAATTTAATAATACAAAAACTAAAAAAATGTTTTTTATTTATACAGTCAGCGCTCTTTAGTACAACCACCATTAGTGTGACCCTTCCATTGTAATGACTGCTACATGAAGCTTCATTTGCTGTTCCATAAACACAATGCGAATTTAACATCCATTAGAACATCTCGACTAAACCATTCATTTAAATATAGTGATTGACATTTTGTTTCCTTTTTTTTAATTCTTCGAAAATCACTTCAAAAACAGTTGTTACACATTTTTGCACTTTCAAATCTAACATTTTCCCATTGTGAATCAATCAATAACATAAATCAACAGAAAACTATTTAAACCCTTATTTCTTTTGATGTTACTGCTTAATTAACATGATATATCTTGAACTGTCTATGAATGAAAACAGATTGACAGGAGAACCTATTCTTAAACCAGGAGGATATATATATATATTAATTTTGANTGTCATCGCACAAATTTAGAATGTCACAAAGAAAATTCAGGGTTCTGTTCTTTTCAGATTGGAAGAGCTTGAACACAACTCTGTTAAAACTAGACAAACAGTACTCCAATGCCAATAATAAGCCTAAAATGAAAGGTTTTTGACTTATGTCAGTAGCATTCTAAGGTAGAATAACTGAATAGTATTTTATAACTATGTAATAAAACAAATCTTAGCAATTTGCAGTTTATAATACAGAATCCTGCTTAACACAGAAGTTCATTCAATCAAAAACATAAATCCTCTGAATACTATTCAAACCCATTTTTCCTTTGATGTTACTGTTCAATAATCTGATATATCTTGAACTGTTTATGAATGAAAACAGAGTGACAGAACCACCTATTCTCAATCCAGGAGGTCCTGGGTGCATTCTATGGATAAAAGAATTGTGAAATACGGATTACTTACCATTATTGAGAAATCGAAGTGTACATCGCACCTTCATTTAGAAATCAAAGTTTTTTTTGTATAATCATAACATTCAATATTTCTTTTCATAGGGTCCAATTTATTAATCAAACATGTTTTTCTAGTTCGAAAATTGTATTTACTCTTTTTGTGATGTGTTGTAAGAGGTGAAAACAACATGATAGTAATAATAATAAATGGTAATAATAATAAATGGTAATAATAATAAATACATGTAATAATAATAAATGGTAGAGATTGTCTTACCATGAATTGGTTTTGAAGCAGCAGCATCTAAAAAGTTTTCTTTTGAATATTTCAATTGCTCTTTGGTCGATTCTATAATTTCATTCAGAAAATCCAAAGCTGAACAATATTCATTAGAATTGACAACATTTTCATCATTCACATAAAACCTAAATTTAAAACAAAGTAAGCTGAGACTCTCAGCATAAAGTAACTATCAATTATTGAAATGACATTTAATCATTTTATCTACTCAAAATAGCTTTCACCAAAGAAAATAAAAATTAGACTAAAACTGTGAAAACTTATTCAATGTTAAATAATAATCTGTCTGCAAAAGTTAGATTTCTGCAATGCAATTCTGTAATGCTTAATAATCAATAAAGTTAACACTTTGCTGACCAGCAATTGTACACAAAAACTGTGTCATATTACCAGCTACTATTTTTTATGCACAATGAACAGAGCTTTTGCAATATTCTGTATTGCTCTGGGTTTCATAAATTGAAACTGATATTGCATGCATACGAATATTTTTTTAATTACCACCTTTAATATACAATTTTAAACCATTGTAAAAAAAGTTCAGTTTCTATTGACAACTAAACTGGTTTTGATGCTTTAAATTTTATCTTCATTTTAAAAATCAATTCAATAAAATCAATTTTAAAAATGATTCATCATTTTTCAACTGCATCTTTGAAAATGTTGTTATAATATATATATATTAAGGGTGGTAATTCTTGAACATCGATAAAAGTCAAATATATTTTGAATATAAATTTACATCAATGCAACAAAATAAAAAAAGCATACTTTTTAAAATAAAGGCAATAAAGATGAGACCCAGCATCATTATTTCGATAGTCAGGATGATTACACAAATCCCGTGCATGGTTTAGGATGAATTGCGGTTTAAAAATAGGGCTCTCATTTTCTACCAAGGGCCATTTAGTAAAGTTTACAAGGAGGTAAAAAGCAATGGTGCGAATCTTTAAAGAAAAAAAGAAGAAGAAAATCATTAAAAATATATGATTTAAGAATTGGGACATAATTCAGTGAAGAAAAAAAAAGAAATATATTACCTCATCAGTAAAATCTGTTAAACAGGGTAAAATATTCAAAAGTGAATCATCTTTAAGAAACAACCATAAATTGTGAGATTGGGCAATTTTCACAATATCTCCAAATTTTTCTGAAAAAGATAAATTTTATCAGTTAATAAGCAATTTTTACAGCAGACTTTTGAATATCCAATTTTCAACATAAACAATTTTCTATGCAAGACTCGCTAAGTTAGCCCGAAAACATAACTGATTGCTTTTTTATTTTAAAAAAAATGTAAGCAAATTCAATAAATTTTTCTTACAATGAAATATTCTAAAGTATAACTTAGTTATTCCACATTATCTTGCTAATTACATGCATTGCAAATAGTAGCAATTATTCAGGATGTTCCCTAATGGCATTTCTTAATATAAAGAGTCTTTTAAAATAGCAAAGAAAAAATAAAGAGTAAAGCAGACATACAAAAAAGAACAATCATACGGGTGACAAATGAACTACTCATAGCCTCCCCAATTTTTTAACCAATAGCATTATGATAGCAATTTAGTAAGTTTTACGTACTGTTGACCTTTTACTCACAAACTAGCCGATACCAATCCATTTGAAACTATGTAGGCTTCAAGCCACCTTCCCTCGATACATCACTATAACAGTTCAGTGTCTTAATCACTTTGCCATTGGACTCTTCATACTATTATCAGTGTTCAACCTAAGTGTTTTTGGAAGGGCGGCCCGCCCCACCTGCCCTTTCATCCTCATAAATGTACCCTCTTTGCCCTTTTCGAAAAAATAAACCGCCATCCCCTAAGAAAAATGCCTTTTTTATTTTTTCAGGAAAAAAAAAAATTTCCTAACCACCTGTTTCAATGAGAAGTCTATTTCTGATTTATTTTGTTATTGATAATTATTTACCTTTAATTTTTAATTTCATTCCTTCATTTTAGTAAGATTTTTTTAATGTTGTCTAGTTATATAGATAAAATTTACATGATATTTGGCCACAGAGAAGTTCATATCCTTTTTTTGGGAGGGGGGGGGTATATTGAATTTTTTAGTAATTTTAAATTCTACCATTAAATTTTTTTTTTTAATAAATACCTTTTATTTAAAAATGCACATTTAAATGCTTATTTTTCATAATTTTCTGCTTAAAATGAACAATTATTAAAATTGTTCATTAAATAATCCTTCTTTTTTTTTTTTTTTTTTTAATTCGTTNGGATTTTTTTTTTTTTTTTTGAAGAAAATATATACACAAAGATTGTCTTTTAGTTTATATCTTTAATTATTTTTTAAAAGCTTCGGCTTTTTCTGTTAGTGTGGGAATTACTGTGTGAGAATTACTTTATAAAATATACTCTTTGATCCTCAATTACACTTTTATACTAGTGAAAAAGCGTAATTGAGGATCAAATTCAGTTATTACATAATATTACATATATTGAAAAATTTTAATGGTGTTAAGTGAGAGCCCTATTCTCAACTCAAAGTTTCTTTTTCTGCGAGTAAGCACCCTGAACTTTTTTATTTCTAGGAAGAACTATGTATTATGTGATATACAACCATACCTTCCTAATAGGAAACTTTTGTTCCAGAATTTCCGACAGTTTGTTAAATGTTGTTTAGAGATTTTAATTCCATAATTGCAGATAAAAATGATCAAATTTTGATTTTTTCTTTCTTTCTAAATCATTTAAAAATAGATTTCATTATAATCGTTCTATAGGAATGTCAATAAATCATAACTAACTTGATGGTTTTTCCTTCCTTTTACCGCCAAGAACAGATACAACAAACACGTCAAAAATAGTATCGATCAGAAGAAGGGAGACACGCCGTCTCTGGAAGCAAGCACCAGGGTGTGTGTTTTTTACAGATGTCTTGAAAAGCCAGTCAACAAACTCTACAAAGAAAAGAAAATTTATAATTATTTTTTTTTAATAAAATGCTAAGAAGAAATACTTATAGTGTAATGCTATGTCTTAGATTTCCAATTTTTATAATATCAAATGCTACCAACACAAAATTGACAGAGCAAAAGTAAGATAAGATCCTAAACTTAAATAAAAATCATACTTTAATCATAAATCAAATAAACTTAACTTATAGATCAAAATTTTAAAATAATAAAAAATTTTAATTAGCCTTTTTTTCATGGGTTAATTTATAAATTAACTAAGGTTTTTATAATATAGGGTAAGGTTCACCAAAGGTAAAGTTTAAAACATTAAAAAACGTTGTTTAAAAGTTGTATTCAATAGTTATGACATGATAAATATTAACCGGTTTAGAACTTTTAATATTCTCCTAACAGGGTGTAAGCTTTAGTTAAAAGGACAGAATGAGAAAATAATTGTTCCAATTTATATCAAGAAGCAAAGAATTATTTTTATGAACCTATAAAAATATTGAGAAAATATTGTGAGATATTCTCATTTTCATTCAGATATTCTCATTCAATATTTTCTCAATATTGTAAAAATATTGAGAAAATATTATAAAAATATTATGAAAGAAATAATTTAATTTAACTAATCAATCAAAAGATATCATGTGAAAAGGAACTAATTAGAATAACATTAAAGCAACAAAATTTTGAATCGCCATAGCGGTTAAACTATAAAAGCCAGCTTTTTAAAATTTCGTCCACCCTTTCCCCTGTTCTGGGGATGCACAGTGCTGACGTATACTCAGTTGTAGATGGAACATGGCTTAGAATCCTCTATCTGCCAGGCTTACCGTAGGAGGTTTTCCTCTCCATGTAAAGCAAAATTTGGGTTAGCTCCATCAAAAAGTTCTCCACAAAGGCAAATTTCTTCCAATACTCGATCCAGGAGTACCCTTGTCTTCTGGATTGGGTTCAAAATTACAAAGCTATGGAGTTGAACATTAGTAGGTAGTCAAAAATCCATAAAATTGGGTCGGCTGTTCAACGACGGTTATAAAATGAAATAAAATAGTTAAGCATAGGCCGAGATAGCCTGGTTGGTAAGGCACTAGGCCCATGTCCAAGAGATCATGGGTTCGATCCCTGTTGGCTGAAAACTCCCTGTGTAGTAAATGGCGACTGATTCACGTTAAATCTGTCGAGGTCAGAAAGTCCACCAAGTTCCCATAACAAATCAATACCTCAGGGGATACTGATCCAGAAGCTTCCTTGTCTTCTGGATCAAAATTACAAGGATACAGAGTCGAACATTGGTAGTCGTAAACCCAGAATTAGGTCAGCTGCTGATCGATGGTTATAAAAAAATTAAATAAAAATTTTTAAGCATAGACATTTGACTTTTGTAATAAATTATGCTAAACTTACCAAGAAAGAGCATAATTCTCTTTATATTTTTCTTAATATACTTCCATGCTGATACTTAATTATTAGACTCGGAAATTAAGAGTTAGCATCAGCATGATATTATAGGAAATCAAAGTTAGATTTCTTTATTTAATATCAAAGTTCTTTTGAAAAAAATAAATAAATAAACGAGAACCTGTTGCACTTTTTTTTTTACTGTTTTGCTACTCCAAAACGTATTGCATATTCCATATTTCTTGCATTTGTATTTTAAATTAATCATACAAAAATAGTTTTTATGTCATCTTTATAGAATTAATGATGATAATGTCATAGTCATTTAAAAGTGTCCATAAAATATGAAATTACGTTTTAATTTCTTTAGCATTTTCTTTCACCTACAAAATGTCCTCCATTTTAATGAATTTGGGACATCATTGCCACCGGAACAAAAACCAGCATTCTATTTGAGGTCTCATAAGAGATTTGCAGATATAGATTATATAATGTTACAATATTTTCCCCCTTTAGGAGGGAGAGTTATAAAAATGATTAGTTCCAAATATTAACATAAAATTCAAAACCTATTTCAGAATGTCCAAAACAAATGCCAGGATTGTCTTTCGGCATCAAACGGTATTGTTGCACTAAACTGTCTCTTATTCTGACCAACAGTGTTCTCATTTGAGCAAGAAGAAGTTGTTGAAATGAAGTTGAATCTATGTTAAGATTAACCAGAATGAAGTCTTTCAAAATGTTCAATTCCTCTTCAGAAACGGCCTCTAAAATAAAGGAATGTTGGAATTTATTAGCAAATCACAATTGCTATGAAATAAACTGAAATATGTTCTAATCTAAACAATGATCAACAATGCATATTGTTTAAAAAAAAATTTCTCAAAAATATAATTAAATTACGAGCATGGTCTAATTCAAAATTATTGAATATTCTAATTCAAAATTATTCTTCACCGGTATTCTACAGTAATTTTCCTTCATAAGACCCTTTCATCTGAACATGGATTTGTAAGGAGCCATTCATATGAGAGAAAAAAAATATATTAGATGCCATCATTTAATTTTACCATATAAGAGGTTGCTTTTTGAAACTATACTATGCCAACCTGTGCTATATTTTAGCAAAATTTTTTGTGCTAAATTTTTTTAAAAACTTTTTAAATCAATAATTGTATTATTTAGAAAATAATTTGTTAAGCGCCAGTCATAATATATTAATCAATACATTGCTTCAGTTTAATTTGTTTTAAATTTTTTTCATTATCTTGTAAATTTTAAAATAATTGTAACTTGCTAAGGGCATTTCAAACATTAAATATACATACAAATTTAAGGATTTTTTTGCTTTTTTTGTAGCTGGAGTAGTAAATAAAAACTGCGTTCAAATAAATACATTTTCATTCTCATTCTTTTATGTGTATAATTGGAGGTTCAGTTATTTTGTTACCTGGCATTAAGAATTAAAAATTAATAAATAAAATAAATACATTTAAAATGTGTTAAACATGTAAAATATTTTAAAAATTTATTTTTATTTGTTTTCCTATCATTAATATTAAAGAAAACTAATTTATCTTCAAATAATCATGTAGTGGTATTTGGATGAAACATGTTAAAAGCATTTCAAGCACCATTTAGATAAAATCTGTTTATTTGTTTAAATTATGAAAATTATAAAAAAAAAATTTATTTAGGAGCCTAAGAATCCTAGGAAAATATCTTAACTATTAGGGGAATTAAAGGGACAATTTATAACAAAACATGCAAGTAAAAAACAGACATTTAAAAAAAAACATAAAAAAGGATTTACAGATTAAGAATCTCAATTTGTATTATTCAAACATCATAAATCAATAAGCAGATTTTATAAACAGCAATAAAAGACATACCTTTAACAGCTCATAATCATGGTAGGTTACTTATGTAACAAACATTATAAAAAAATATTTCTAATAGCAATTAATATGTAAAGTAAAAAAATGTTTCAAGAATTAGATTTACAGAGTAAAAATTTTTTTTAGTATCATTAAAAAATACCGATCGTAAATTCAACAAACAGTTTTAAAAAATAAAACTAAAAATTCTACGAATAAAAAAAATACAGTTCAAAATAACAATAGCAGGATATCGTTTAAATAGATAATGCTATAAAAATAACTCAACTTTCACAACTTTTGTTAAACTTTCTCAAAGTTTAACAAAGAATAACACACAGCTTAATTGTATTGATAGTCTTATGTAAACTGATTTAAAGTGGATTAAATTATTAAAATCTGCACAGCATACTTTGTTAAAACAAAAATAATAATTACAAGTTGTACACTAGTTAAAAAAAAAACATATTGCTTAAAGACATATTCAATTCAATAAGAGTATTGCATAAGAAATATGGTAATCAAACTAAGTTTAAAAAAACACACACCTGATTTTTTCGAAGAACAACATAAAGTAGAGAGTATTTCTGCACGGATACGAATTTCGTAATGATGCAAATGTGTCATAAGTATTTTGATTTCCTGTGAATTAAAATACAAACAATTAATGTTTTGCAAATAACTAAACAGGAAATTTTAGCAATTAAAATTACCTTTTCTTGAAGAGAATGGACACCAGATTCCTTTGCTACCCTCTGTAATATCAACTGAGCAAAAACTTGTGTTTCACTTTCCAAGAGGAATTCATATGATTTAGGTATTGCTTTCATGGTCCAAGGTAGAATGAGATTAACAACGTTTTGAACAAGGGATCTGTTTAAAAAAAAGAAACTTTTTTGAAAAAATCCCTTGAAAATCAGCTTTTACACTGCAATCTTTAAATGAACTAAAACTACGAAATCTAAATACTGCATAAGTTATTTTTAGACAACATTTTTGTAAAATATAAATAAAATTAAGAAACGAATGCTTGGTTACGGATTCAGATTTGAATCTTTTCCATTTAAAATGTTTCAAAATTTCCTGAAGAATAATGCAATAGTAAAATCTTTATGCAAACAGGGATAAATTTTTTTACAACTCTTTTTTGTTTTTAGCAACTATTAACATTAAAATTTTTTTATTAGAAAATACAATATAGTCAACCCCGCTTAAAGGAATACCATTGGTTCCAGTCTATTCAATTAAGTAGGTTATTTGATTAAAAGGTGAGTGCATTATTCAATATTTATGCTAAAATTTTTAAAAAATATAATATAGGAATCATAGCATTTTATTTCTTCTAAAAAGCATTGTACATGAATGCAATTTTTTTTTTTAAAGAATATTACATCTAATTATGCACAAATTGTGTGTATTTGTATATGAGACATCTTTCGAAGTTTAAAGCACTTTTTATATTTTTTACATTTATCAACCCTATATAAAGTTCAATTTACACTTCAATATTTCCAATTGCTTAATTAATAATAATCTTACTTACAAAAATTCTTACTTATTCTCACTATTTAAAGAATCCAAAATAGGTTTTTTCCACCATCTACCCCATTCATTCAGAATAACATCTTCAGAAGGATTAGTATTTCTAAAATGTGAAGAAAAAAAAGACATTTTAAATGCATAAATAATAAATATAATGAACAATATTTTTAATTTTAACTAAGAATTATGAACTTCTTGAGTTATTAAAATTGTTATGCAGAAATTTACCTGATAACAGAGACAATAGACTTATAAACCTCAGAAACAGCTGAAGAAGCATAACCAGCTTTCATATTAATAACAACTGCCATAGGCACTTCAGGATAATTAGTAAGGTACTAAAAATAAAATTTTAATTTAAGATAAGTTTTAAAAATACAATATGGTTAGACTAAATGATTGATCTAGTTTCAAAGAACTGTTTATTTACAAGTATATGACATAGAAAAACAAGAATGCACGATCAGATACACATTAAATTTCAGTTATACATACTATAAATGTCTAATGGCTGCAATCTTCATTAGTGGCACACATCTAAATAATGTTCTTGAAGCATTATAGGACTATTCTTTTAAAAGGTAAAGTTTATATAAATTTGTACTGAGAAATTAAGACATTTTATCTTTCCTAGACTGATGAAATTGGAATTAAAATGCTAAATGAATTGAAAATGAATCATAAAGATCTAATGGTCCATTTAAAACAAGCTTTAAATAAATCTTTTTCTTGTTGGAACACTGTAACTTATAGTGAGTTTAGTAAGCAATACATTATTCATTATAACTCTCTGAATAGGTAAACTGGAAGTCAAATTTATGAGGGTTTAGATGCATAAAAAAATAAACTAAAATAAAATGCTGTTGACGTAGTCCATCAAGGTAATGGGGGTGCAATTGTTCTTGTTTTCAAGTGGCGCCATCTACGGCTTCTGCCACACCTATACATCACACCCAAACATAGGGCAGACACATTCGTACATCCATAGATCATAATTTTGACCTAAACTAAAGAAAGATCAATCTCCAATTCAGCATCCTCAGAGGTATTGATTTGTTATGGGAACATGGAGGTTTTTGTGACCCGACAGATTTAACATGCACCAGTCACGATTTACTACACGGCAGTCTTTGGCCAGCGGGATTCGAACTAACATTCTTACGAATTGAAGTCCAGAGCCAGGCTATTCTGGCCCCACAAAAATGAAATAATGAGATTTTATCAAAAAAAAAGTTGTGGGTGTGTGACATGCAATATCATAACATGCAAAAATTATAGTCCAGTTGATTGTTTTTTATCAAATTGAAACTTAGTTATTTTCAGTACTACTTTCTCACTGAAGATAAATTTTTATTAAAATGCTTGGTTACATAAAAGTCTCACTTGGGCATGAATTCCGCAAACTAACAGGATTGTCAGGATAAGTAAAAATTTTAAGATTCTTAGAGTTCTGCCACTAATGATAGAAGATTATATAGAAGTAATCTAAAACAGACAACTAAGAAGGCATTTCAGTTAACTTATTTGTCACATAAAAAATTAAAGCATATTCAATATTTCACATGTAAAAAACAATGTAAAAGGTAATAAGAAAAAAATATTACTTTTTTATAGTCAACAAATTGGAGAAGCACAGAGAGAATAACATATTTTCCTTTGATTTGCCAACTTAACTTCATAGTTTGGTCTAACAAAAAATTGACCATATCAAAATCTTGTCTGTTCAACAATTCTCCTTCAGATTGGGACAAATGAATAAGTAATCTATAACATTCTTTGACAAATGTTGTAACGCCCTTCACTGGGCTTTCCAAATTGGATTCTAATAAACAGAGGGTTTTTGTTACCACAAAAGACGTGCCTGAAGAAAATATTGCTTCTGGTTTGCTATGAAGTACTTTTGGAAGGTACTTTTCACATGTCTTGAGCCAACTTAGCAAGACACTGAATGCATGATATTGTGAACAGCATGGCGATGAACACATTGAACAAATGTATTCAAACAATGATATAAGAAATGGTATATCCTTATGCAGCTTGGAACTGAATAAAAAAATATCAGAATTTTGATAGGACAACATGCCATGTAACACGGCTATTTGTGAGAATGAAGGAGCCATTCCATGCATAGAATCATTCAAATTGTTTATAAAATCTTCATCTTCAACCAGATTTAGGGAAAGAACTTTATGCAACTGTATCTCATCCTTCTCCAGCAGAAAGTCTGAAATGCACAAATAATGAGTTACTTTTAGTCCAAAATACATAAATTATCAGGGGTCTGTCTAGGTTTTCCTGAGAGGTACCTATTTTGTGAAAATTTAGATATTATTTGTGAAAATTTAGATATTATTTGTGAAAATTTAGGCATAATTTGTAAAAATTAAACATTATATTTAAAAAATCAACACAAAAATATGGTAAAAATATGGATTTTTAATTTCTTAAGGAAAACAAAAATAAAATTTCAAGAAAAAGTATTTTGTAAAACTACCGCTTTTCCTAAAGTTGAATTTGTGAAGGTACCGCTAAACGGTAGTCAATTTGGCCTAGACAGACCCCTGATTATGTTTTCTGAAATACATAAATAATGAGTTTTGATATTCTAATATCTTTCTTTCTTAATTAAATGAATAACAAGGTATGTATGTATTAAAACAAACAGTAAATAAATACATTACTATTCTTGTTATATTTTGACATAAGAATAAGATTTTTTGGAAAAACAACAGTCAAAGTCCTTAACAGTTACAATATATATAAAGCCCACTAACATCCATGACCATAGTCTCTTAACTTTATAAAATTTTAAGAAACTTCAAAATAATTTCTTTTTCCCTTTTTTTTCATTTTTAGTAAAAACAGGACTTTTTAGGAATTTATCTAATTAGAACTATGGATAAATCTCAGTAAAAATTTTCAATTTTAAAAAAGAAAATAACTGAAAATTTTGAAAATATGAATTTTTTTTATCTTAATATAGAATCCCTTCAATAGTAACTATAGTTTAACAATAGTAACTACCGCTTACTTTCTTGGATTGTTTCAGTTATATTATTTTTTAGTTTAAGACTTTGCAAAATTTCAACAGCTCTGAAAATCTTTGCATCACACGAAGGGAGAAATTTTTTTTCTCACCTCTTTACTGGTCTTCATTTATTTTAATTAAGTTCATATAAACATTATTCGTTCTTATCTTTCTTCACAGAGCTCCAACAGTTCAGCTTAATATTTAAAGATGTTAAATAAGACAAATAGCTGAATACAATAACAAAGTCATTAGTAGGAAAGAATGATTTATAATTAGGGAGAACTTATAGAAGTTAATAATGAATTTCAATAAAATTAAGAAGAAATTATTAGGATTGTGTTATAGGGTAATTTGATTTATATTCATTTAAATTTTTTTTTTTTTAAATTAAACTTAATACCCAGTTCCAGAAAAATTAACAACAGCATGAATAATGAATAAAATCGATTAAATGCAGAAAATTTTTTTCTTCTCTTTCACTTTGGAAATGCAATCCTCGAAACTTTTGACTTTACAGGATTGAGATTTACAATGCTGCAGGATTGACAGATCTCAGTTAAGCATTTCATTTATAATTAGAATTAATTTACTAAGTTACAATCGACAATGGGAAGTATATATTTAAAAAAAAACTTGTAAACAAAATTTAATCTTTTGCAAAAACTATACCAATAAAACAATTAAAATTATAATCCTAAAACCAGTTTTACAGCAAAAAAAAAAAAAAAAAAAAAAAAAATGCGCCCAATGAGTCGTCTATTAGTTGGGTTCAAATTTCAGTGTTGAATTAAGCACTTGATGAAAAAGCTTTTTTTTTGTCACTGTTATTGATTTCATTGATTTATGGTTTCATAGATCCAGACATCAGTGAAAAATCTTAAACATTTTTATAAAAAAAAATTCTTTTAGTTCAGAATTCTTTAGTCTTTAAATAAGTTTTGCATTCCTTAGTTTTACTGGTATTTTCTTCCATTTTTGCAATTTCAGCTCTTATTTATTTATTTATTTTTTATAATTATCATTCGGTTCTTTATTTATACCTATTTTTTATTTATTTATTTTTTTTTAAACTGAAGTACTTTTTTTTCTTTTTATTATTTACTGTAAGAATAATTTTTTTTTTTATCCAAATTTATATTTTGGCAAGGCACTTTTTCTAAAATTAGAGTAATATAGAAAACCAATAATTTCAGAGCTTAAAAAAATAAAAGAGTTAGAACTCGAAAAAAATGTTTCTTTCCTTTTGTTTAGCTCACATTTTTTTTCCGTACTTACTTCTAAAATTTTATCTATATTTAAAATTTTATCGATATTTAATATTTTATTGATATTTAATATTTTTAGTGACAAGTAATATCGTTTTTTTTTAATTTACTATTATTATTTTCCTATTAAAATGGATTTTGATGCCAAAATAGGCATTACATATTCACTAGCTTTTAAATTTCTTTTATTTTAAAAATTTAATCATCCCTTATCCCTTTTTAAATTAATAAAACAGTTAATTAATTTTAACTCAATTTGATAAAGAGCAAATTAAAATATTTCTATTCTCAATATATGTAAGATCTAACTTTTTATTTCAATACAAGTGCATAGCTTAGTAATTCATTGTCATGACAATTCGAATGTCAAAATCTATTTTTAACTTTATTTTCCTTAAGCTGCTTTATTTTTTAAACCGCAAAAATGCTATGATTATAGGGTAATATTTTGGTGATTAATTTGTAGCCAGATTTAAAATTTAATGACAATAATGCAGAGTTGGCTTTATTTTTGGTTGTACTATTTTGCGATAACTTGCCAATTTTTGGATCTCTTCCCAATCTCCAGAGCATCGGTCAGCAAGTACGCATTCACTGGTAATTACAACTTTTGGGGTATTGGGTTTTCTCAGTTCTGTCCTCACTCGATATTTAGGAAACAGAATTTGAGAAAAGTCTAAATTAGATGTAGTTAAAGGGTAAGTAAATGGTTAATTTTTCACTTTAATAATATTTCCATCTTCAAGAATAATAGAGAGTAATTACACTTTTGACACTAAATATTTCTAAATATCTATTTTAAAGTTAATAGCAGAGCAAATAATAATGAAATATTAAAAATTCAATTACATAATAAACAAGTATTTTAATAGCTGAAAGATCCAACAAAAGAAAACTCTTACCTGGTGTTGGCTTTCCAAAAGAACAGTATAAGAATATAAAAAGGGATGAAGCATAATAAGGATGAAATAGACCAGCTATTAAAACAGAAACACAAGTACCACATAACAGTAACAAGTCCACAGGGTAAACCTACATGACAAAAGATTATATTTTACTCAAAAATATACATACATGCAAATAAAAAAAAGAATAGTAAAAGTATATTCACACAACTACAAATAAAAAGCAGAAATATTTTTCTATATGAAACTTTTTTTTTTACTTCATTAATTCCCCATTTCCATACATCATCATACCTGCCAACTCTTCCGGATTTTCCGGAAGATTTTATTTCCATATATAAAGTGGTAGCAATACTCATGTTATTCCAATTAACTTTTTGAATTATAATGATAGTTTGACCACCACTACATATGAATAATTACAATAAATATATAAAAGCATAATAATCATTACACAAGCGAATTTCATCAGGATCAAAATATAAATATATTTTTGATTCAGATTGTTTTTCGTTTATTCTCTTACAACCACTCTGAAAATCCAGTCTCGGAAAGAGTGAAAGTTGGCAGGTATGCATCATTCCATTTCCATTTGTCATCAAAAAAAAAATCTTAAAAAATAAAATTCATTAAAAAAAACAATAAAACATTTTATTTATAATTTTTGTATATTATTCTTTAAAAGAACATTTCAAAAGTGTACCACATACTTCCTTATATCAGATTTAAAAAAAAAAAAAAAAAAAAAAAAAAAAAAAAAAAAAAAAAAAAAAAAANAAAAAAAAAAAGAAACTCATATTAAATGGTCCAAATTAAAAGTTATTGACATAAAAATAACATAAATTATTTATTAAAACTAAGCTTAGAGAAATTTATGTCTTATAAGCTAAAGAAACACTTCAACGCTCTTTAAAGATGAAGAAATGCACGATATTCAAGACGTTCATAATTGGAGGAGAGATGATGAAGTTTGCATAGAGAAATAAATGCGGCGAAGAGTGATTCTTTTACTAAATTAATCAATGACTTTGATTACCGGAAAGACAGTGAGAGAATTTTTAATTTTATAAACAAATTAAAAGGTGACATTCCAGGAAGAACTAAAGAATGTAGCCGGAAGGATTTTATATTATGACAAAGATATTTCAATACTTTCATTAAGCTTCACACAAAATATCAACACCTGGACTTAGACCTCCGAAGAAAACAGAAGAATATGAGAAGAGATATTAAAATGAATGATAAGGCAACCACAATATAGTCTAATAAAAAAATGTTGATTATTCTGAATAATATACACCTGTGGTAAATATAGAATCATTCAGATTATTAATTGCTTAGGCAGCAAAATTGGATTAATTTGTTAAATTTTTTGATATTTACAACTGCTCATTCATAGGGTGATATTGATAAAACTGCACAAGGTTTTGAAGATAAAAAGGGTAAAAATAAAGTATGCAAATTAAATGTAAAAGTATTTATGGTCTACCTTAATCTGGTAGAAATTGGCATATAAAGGTTAAAAGCGAACTTCAAAAGATAGGTCTCACTCAACTTGTATCTGATAATTGCCTATTTACTAAAATTAATTATAATGATTTTTTTGTAATTTGTGTATATGTAGATGATGTAATAATATTTTCTAGCAATTTAAAATTATACAAGGATATCATTTCAAAACTTAATCAAATATTTGAATTAAAAGAAACAACCAATGCTTAAAAAGTTTTAGGCATTGAGATGTAAAAAAAAAGAAAATGGAATTGGTTTATCTCAAACTCAATACATAGAATCTTTAATGAAAAAATATGGTTTGGAAAAATGTAAGAAAACAAATAATCTCATAACTAAAGGGAAAGATAGATGTTTTAATCCTACTGATGATTTAATAAATCAGACTGATTATCAGGAAATTGTCAGTGAACTTTTATAATTAGCAAATAGAACTCACCCTGATATTGCTTAACTAATTATTTCTCACAATTTCATAAATGTCTTGAAAAAGGGCATTATGTTTCAGCTAAAAGAGTTTTGAAATATTTGAACGGTTCAAAAGATAGAGTCATGTTTTATAGTAAAGAATTCGGTTTTTTAAACTATAGTGGGGGTGCAAGTTGGGGCAACACAGAAGGAGGAAAATCTTTTTCAGGTTGTGTAATTATGATAGGTAATTCTCTTATAACATGGAAAAGTAGAAAACACAGATGTGTAAGATTTTCAATGTGTGAAGTCAAATTATTTGCTGCAGCTGACACAACTCGAGAACTTACTTAAATAATAAATATGTAAAATGAAATGAACTGAAAAAATTTAATTAATGTTCCTGTTACTATATTTTTTTATAGTCAAGCTGCTATTGAATAGTTGAACAATGGTAAGTCTTCTAACAAAACCAGGCACGTAAATCTTAAATTTCATTTTGAGAGAGATTAATGAAGATAAAACATTAAAAACTGTTTGCAACAATACTAAAAATAACATTTATAATTTCTTAACTAAAACTGCAATTTTTGATAAGTTAATTTTCTCTTTGGAAAATATAAGTTTAATTTGAAATTATATTGAGAGAATTAATACTTTTATATGTAGTTTTATTTGTATCAAAAATTAAAATTCTTCTCCCAGGGAGAGATTGTTATCATTCCCAGGGAAGGATTGCTACAAAGTCTTTTTCTTTTTATTACCGCCAGATGGCATTCTTCTTAAATTTGCATGTATTTGTGAGCTTAATATCAATAAACTTTACCTTTCTGTCTGAATCTCGCTCTCCAAGGACTATAAAATTTAATATGTGATTTTAAAATGTTTCAGAGAATTCTTAACTTACTTGAACAAAGAGGATGTTAAAACTAGTAGAAAATAACAGTTAAGTGATGTTTCAGAGAATTCTTAACTTACTTGAACAAAGAGGATGTTAAAACTAGTAGAAAATAACAGTTAAGTGATTATATAAATATAAAAATCATAAAAAAATCACACAGCAACAAAAAATTAAGAAAAAGAAAAATGAAGCTTTTGCGGATAAAATACTCACAGAATTGCATAAAATACAGCTAAGATGTTGCAGAAGAGAAATTAATGCATTCTGCTGTTCTTGTACTAAGTCACCAAAGCTAATTTTGTACTTCAAGTTGCATTGAGAAATTCTGCTGTACAACACCTAAGTCAATAAAAGTATGCAACAAAATTAAATTTTTGAAATAAATAATATGAAACATAAATTAAAAGGAGAAATTAAAAAAAAACTCTCAAAAAGAAATAAGTAAGAAGTTTTTTATACAAAAAACATAAAAAAGAAATAGCAATCTTCTCATTAACATAGCTTGTCTTCAACAAAAAAAAATCATTCTGTATTGTATTGCATTTAAAAGATTTTATTGTGAAAAATATAAATAGAAATATCTGTTTAAATACTTAAATTTGATATAAGAGCAGAATGCTAAGTTTATAATATTTTTAAAAAAAATAATAAACTTACAGAAGTGATTTTTTTTTCTTTGTCTAAATATACAATGGCATTTTAGTTTTAAGATAAATGTAATTGACATAAAAATAGTTAATAAACAATCAATAATTTATAAAATAATCAATGAACAAAGATATTGTTTTGTATTGTTTGTAAGTCAATGCCTACATATTAATTACAAATATTAGACAGTTCTTTTTTCAAAAACTAAAATAAAATCTCTTTAAAGCATCCAGAATCAATTAAAATTCTGTAACAAAAATAAAGTGCACAGTTTTTAATTTATTCATTTTTTATATTTTGAGAGGAACAGAGTACAATTTGTGTTTATTAAGAAAGGATATTTTTTCCTGTTCTCTTTATCAACAGTTTTTCATTTTGTACAAATGACTGTTTATGATCAGACAACCTATCATGAAAAATACATTTCTTCTTGGTTTGAAGAAAAACTCACAACAAACCAATCAAATGCTTAAAATAAGGAATATAAAAGTTGATTGTCTGTATAAGTTTACTTGTCAAATAGGTGTGAGGTATCTATAATACGTAATATTAAGCTAAAAAACCTTTCCATCACAAACAAGTATTTAACACTATTTGTTACAGAGGGGGTGAATAACGTTGATAAACGTTGAGAAGGGAAAATTTTTGTTGTTGTTGTTTCTTATCCTCTAATTGTCTGACGAAGTCAAACAAGATCCAGTAGGTTGTTGACCCTCAAAAAGTCAATTACAAGAAGTGGAGAAGCATATAAGTCCTCCTTGGAAAGGTGTGAACATTTTCATGGTTCCTTGGCCGCATACCAATGATGAGAGGGGGGGATCCTCCACTTTCTTGATAGATGGCTTTTGATTTTGGACTGATACTCTGAAAAGGTAAGGGCTGAGGACGAAGATGTTAAATGACTACAGCCCTCCTTGGCCAAGCGACTTGCTTGCTCATTTCCAAAGATGTCAACGTGTGATGGTATCCACTGAAGATGAACATCGTGGTGCTTTGAAATAAGTTGAAGTTTAAGAAGGATGGAGATGCTTGCTTTGTCTCCAACTTTAGTCTAGTTGAGTAGGTGTTGAAGGGAGCTGCGACTGTCCGACAGGATCCAAAGATCTCCAAAGTCACTCTCGTTGATTATAGCATCGATGCTCTGTTCAATTGCGATTAATTCAGTTCGAAAGACTGAAGTGAATTCAAGATTACGGAGACATATGGAGTAATTTTGCCCAGATTTTTCAATGAAGACGCCGCTACCAGCTAGGTTTCCCAGTTCACTACTGTCTGTGTAAATTTTTACGGCGTCACTGGGAATCTCGCCTAAAATTTCCAAAGCTAGCTGCCTAAGCTCAGCAGGAATATGATCTTTCTTTGTGACCGGAGCAGAAAAGCCGAAGTGGAAATCAACTCGGGGGGATTCCCTCTGAAGGATTCAGACTTTAAGGAGTGGGGCTCAACAAAATTTTTGTTTTACATCACATTGGTACGATTCTAATTGCTAATAATAAAATAGAGTATAAAAAAAAAGAAAGTGCGATTGGGAGGTGTGATAAATTTAATACTAATGATACTTTCAAAGAATACAGATGATTTTTTGGTACAAGTATCTCCTCTCCGAAAAAATATAAGTACGCGGAGCCCCTGTAAGCACTTATTAACAAATAAGGACAAACATAAGTTAATATTATGAATAAAAATACAATTTTAAAACTATTATAATACATTATGTTAATCTCTAAAACATACTTTCAATGTATTATGAATTTCCGATGTGAGTTTCTTGGTTGAAAATTCCTTCAAAAGACTATCAATTGATTTAAAAAAATTAGACACCGTTTCCGCTTCTAACATTATAATAAATAGGTAAAGGATTTTAAGTTAATAATGGCTTTCAATTATTGGCGGGGGAAAAAAGTGTTTAAAAGTAGTTATTCTAATCAACCCGCCGGAACACCATATACACATACCACGATATATTTGACTTGTTTGTAAATATATTACTAACTATGCCAGATATGCAATTTCAGTTTTTGTCGGATAGCTTTTTTAACTTTGTTTAGTTTCATTGATATTTTTTTCTTAGCTAGTTCATACTTTTATATCATTTTATGTTATTAAAACAGCCATATATATTAATAATATAGGTAATAAAGACGAATTATCTGAATTTTTTTTCTTGCAAAACTGTTCTCTAAAAAACAAGAACAACCATAACATTGGTGATGAATTGAGCTTATAGACAGTGTTATTCTTTAAGTTTTTACAGCAACCATATAATAAAAGTTGCCAACAGTTTTATTGGCTTAACTTTTCTTGGGATTCTTGGCATTAAATTAAATGTTTTTATTGTTTTAGAGCCAAATAAAGTAAGCTGACAGATCTGTATTGTCCAATTAAAATCGCTTTATTTGGGAAAATATAAAGAGAGTATTTCTGTTCGCAGTTATTCGTTAGAGGTGGGAATGCAATGGGATGCCTCCAGGGAAGTGTCAGGAATCTTTAAAAATTTTCTATGACGTTTGAAGGATGTTTAGTAAAAAGCCTCATTCAGATGTCAAAAAATCTTCTCTGAAAGTTTTAGACCTGAAAAAAGATAGTTTGGGCCGTTTGAAACATTTGAAAGTTGTTTTAGGTAAGTTTATTTCTGGTACAAGTTAAGTGGGTAACATAAATAGACCCAAATTTAAAGTTAGATTTTTAGTTATTTATTACTTTAAACTGAGATTTAATTCTTAAATCAACATTTTACTTAGTTTCGTTTTAAATTGGTTGTCATCCTCCTTTAATGTCCATGATCTTTTAAAACTGAATTCGAGTTCCTATTATTCAGGGCACTTCAATTTCGTAATTTCTGTCTTATTAACAATTAATTCCATATTTATTGATACATATCTTCGATTTTTTTCTCCTATATTTTAATCTTGCATTTTCAGAGATAGCTTAATTTTTAGTTGTCATGCATAGTTTGTTGAGTGCATCTTACGAAATGAATTAAAAAAGATTTATTATTAGATTATGAAATGTAATTGAAACTGTTGGCTTGCCTGAAATACGAAAACAAATAAAAACTTTCGTTAATTTTCTTTAAATTGTGTTTTGTATTTCTTTTAATCTATGAATATATATTTATTTATTATTATGATTTAATTATTTTTCTTAATTGCCAACTTTTATACCTAAATTTGCAACTGAAATTACTTTTCTTTGGGTATTTCCTTATAGTAATATGTCAACTACAATCCCTAATGCACCAAATGGATTTTTAACTTGCAATTTAAAAAAAAAAAAAAAGGTATGTAGATTTTTAGGAAGTAGCTGCGAGTTATATCCTTATCTCTTTGAGTTGGTGGTTTTTTATAGTTCCTCGCTGGCCTGTGTGCAGAAGTTGCCAAGACGTAGCAATTATTCTGTTGCAAATCATAATGCTCAAGCCTTCCCGCTTTACTCATAACCTCAAGTGGAAACTTATTTTTTATGTTTGATTATTAGGTATTTGGATAAGTTATTCTGCTTATTTACTCAGGGGTCTGTCTAGGTTTTTCTGAGAGATATCTATTTTGGGAAAATTTTGACATAATTTGTGAAAATTGAAAATTATATTAAAAAATCAACGCAAAAATATGGATTTATCGTTTCTTACGGGATACGAAAATTAAATTTAAGAAAAAGTATTTTGTGAAACCACCATTTTTCCTAAAGTTGAATTTGTGAAGGTACTGCTAAACGGTACTAAATTTGGCCATGGTACTGCAGTGTGTGACACACCCCAAAATCATAGCTGGAAAGTACAAATAAAAGTATGAAATGTCCTCTTTAAATTTCATTCATGATATTAAAGAAACACCCATAGATTTAGCTCAACAGGATAATTTTGGGATATTTCATGATCTGTCACACCAATTGTAATTGCCAAGATCCCAAATAGATTTTTAACTTGAAAATTTTTCCAAGAAGAAAAAAAAAAACATGTGGATGAAAGGATGTTACTAGTAATACCTTTCAAGTTTGTCTTCTGTGATGTGTTTTTTAGTTTCTCACAGTCTGCTGCCCAGAAGTTTACAATGAATTACAATTATTCACCCGTGGATCACGAGATGAAAATCTTTTGTTTATTTTTACTCTGTAGCCAAAACCGAACCAATTTTCTTTTCTGCTGCAGTGGAAAAAAATCAAATAACATTGCCGTTGTTTCTTAACGCAAATGTTTGATAAGTTGTTATTAAAAGCCTTGATTGCCCAAATATATTTCTTTTCTTGTCTTGATTACATTTGTTTTGTTAGTCAATGGAAAAGTTATGAAGAATAATAATTATTGATGTATACAGAAATAGCTAAAGAAATTACAGTCTGCTCAATGTCAATATTTTGTTTTTTCTTTGTTATCTTGGAGTCCTTTTTCTCTGTTTTATTATGTTTTATTTTAATTTTTAAAACATCTTTTAAAGTGCAAGTGATTTATATTTCCGCAGAATTTTGTAATTTCTAAAAATTTAGACTGTTATAAACTAGTTTAGATTTTTAGTTTATCCACTGATTATTTAACTACTTTATTTTTAATGTTCAGTCATTCTTAAAAAACAATTTTGCTTTTTTAGCATTTTAATGCTATTAACATCAGGAATATATATATATATATATATTTTTTTATTATTTTAGAATATTTTTTAGAGGAATATTTTTCTAATTAATAAATTTAATAATAAATACTATAGGTATATTTGTTTTTTGACAATAAATTATTTTGACTTATGTGTTAAAAAAAGTAATTCTCTTATCACTTAGAATTTCTTTAGAATATATTAGTAATTTCACTTAAGATTATAACCAAAGAGGAAAAAGTTGCTAGCATCAATGCACCTTACTGAATGGTAATATTTTTAATAAGAAATATGTCTTAACTCGAGCTTTGGTTATGAAATATGTTCAATTTTTTTATACATGTGCTTGTTAGAAATTAATTAAAATTTCCATTATTATTTTATATTTCTTTATGGGAACACAATCGTTTCAAACTAATTATTGTCAATTTGAAATTATGCTACATAGCTGCTTAGTGTTATTTGCATGTTTTACATACATTCTATTCACCTTTTTTTTTTAATTCTTCCTTTATCGAAGTTTTTTTAATAGATATAAATGTGTGCTAATGAAAAATATATTTTCTCTTATTCACTTTAGAAAAGATCACCTCATTTTGATATTTATGGTTATCTTTTATATAATCCTTTGTCATATTAAGTCAAATGCTAATAGTATGTATTTTCATTATTTTTTTGCATAATAAAACATTTACTTTTCATGTAAATCGTTATTAAAAAGGTTTTAAATTAGAATCTGCTTTAAAAAAGGATCTAGAAATTTAAATTTAAATATTTGTAGCACTATAAATATGCAAAAATTTTAAAGTTGACTAAACATTTAAATGAATTTGAGATAATTTTATGTTCAAGCATTAATGTGACTGAGAAATTCATTAATTTCTTAACACTGACTATAAAAAGAAGAGTTTTTAGGAGTGATAGACATGCCTAGAATTTGGAAAATTATATTAAAATAATTATATATTGATGATAAGGGACTTTTTTTTGTTAACGTTTTTAAATAAACTAATCAACAAATCATAGTCATAAAATGACATTAGTACTGATAAACTATTTAATGTATTTTTCTAAATTAATTTAATTTGCTTTTGAATTTTCTTTCACTTACTGTTAAAAGGTTAATTTCCTTAATATTTCATCTAATCTTATTGAATGTATTTTAAATTTTCATTTTCATAAATTCATTTTGTTTTTTCTTTCAGAAAACTCTGACATTCATGAAGCAAAAATCTTCTTCGAGTCCAATTACAGTCACATTTTTTATGTGTTTTATGATGTTTTTATATCTGCAGAAAATAATTTGAAACAACGAGGTAAATGTTTTTTTTTAATGATTGTTATTCATATTTATCTGCTATACTAATGCAATAAGTACAGTTATGTTCCTGAAATTTAAAATTTTGTAAGTTATAATCAAATGCTCCATAGCAAACTATTTTTGAAAACTATGTTTAAATTATAAATTCTAATTCTAATATTGTAATTTTCTAATAAAACATATTTAATTACAACCTGAATTCACATTTATGTGCTATGCCAGCCATTTTTTTTATGCAAACTTGTAAAAATTTGACGCAACTTTGTCAGTCCACAGCACCCAAAAAAAAATTGTATTGTTCCAGGTGGAAGTTATTTCCATGATTGAAAGAATGTCTTGTATTTCCATTTTTAATATTAAAAATTCAGCTTTTTCTATGAGAATTCAATTTCTCTTATCTACATATCATATTCACGTGAATTATAAAATATCTACTGTGATTTGTATAAATGCTTAAAGATTTGCATTCATGCTTAATTAAATATGTTTAAAGATGAATTCAGTGAAATAGTTTGCCTTTTTAATATTTTGTTGTGTTTATATGTATGTTTTTGTAGGTCATGAAATTCAATGTCATTTTTGTGAAAAAGCTTTATATCATACCGACTGTACTATGTTTGAAGTGTTGAAATTAAATATTCTAGGCATTTTTTTTTTTTTTTTTTGAAAATGTATTATTATAATAAAAGAAAATAATTTATCTGTTGAAAATTAACTGTATTTAAGAGTTACATAAGCTTTTTATAATAAAGAACCTGTATTAGTTATTTATATCATGCTCATTTATAATTTATTTGATGTCTAAATTTATAATTTGTTATTAATTTTAGCTCATCATCGAACAGGTAGAGACTTTATTTTTACTCTGTAGCCAA